GTGTCACCCGTGGGCGGTGTCACCCACAGTGTCACCTGGCGGTGTCACCCGTGGCGGTGCCACCCGCGGGCGGTGTCACCCGCGCTGTCCCCGCACACAGGCCATGCTGCACTACCGCTCCGGGCTGCTCCGCACGCTGGACACGCTGCTCTTCTCCGGCCTCTTCCTGCTGGGATTCGCGGAGCAGAAGCAGACGGTGGAGGTGGAGCTGTACTCGGACTATCGCGAGGACTCCGTGAGAGCCCCTGCCCGCCGGGCCCGGGAATGGGGGCGGATTCCCCCCCCCCAGCATTCCCAGGACGCTGATTCCCGCTTTTCCGCAGTACGCCCCGACCGTCGGAGCCGTGCTGGAGATCCAGAGCAAGCGCATCCAGCTGTACGGGGCGCAGCTCCGCATCCACGCGCGCTTCACCGGCGTGCGGTGAGCGCCCCGACGCCCCCGCAGTTTGGGGGGGACACGCGTGCTTTCCCCCCTCTTATCCCGCCATTCCCGCTCTTTTCCCAGGTACCTGCTCTACAACTTCCCGGTCACCTCGGCCCTGCTCGGCATTGCCACCAACTTTGCCTTCCTCAGCGTCATCGTCCTCTTCAGCTACCTGCAGTGGGTGTGGGGCAGCGTGTGGCCCCCCGCCGCGGTGGGTGACACCCCCTTCCCGGGGGGGGGAGGGGACAATTGGGACCCCCCCCTCAATATCCCGCCTTTTTGTTATCCCAGACAAGCTTCCGAGCTGCCCCCCGGGAGGAGCCGACGGCACCCGGGAAAGGTGAGGGGTTGGGGGGGGGCTGTGTGGGCCCCCCGCATTCCGATGTCACCCCCGTCTTGTACCCCCCCAGGTCCTGCGGAGAAGACGGACCCGGAGCCGCGGGATGCGGAGCCGCGGGATGCGGAGCAGCGGGATGCGGAGGAGATCGGACCTGTGGATTCCGCTGCTCTGGCCAAGGATTCCAGTGAAGGCGGGTGGTGGTTTTCTGCCCCCCCCGGTGCCAAAAGACCCCCCTCCCCCTGGGAATGCCGTGTGGGAATGCTGCAYGGAAACTCCATGCGGGAACACCGTGTGGGAATGCCGTGCAGGAATCCCGTGCAGGAACGCCGTTGCGGGAATAACATGCGGGAACGCCGTGCGGGAACGCCGTACGGGGAATCCCATGTGGGAATGCCGTGTGGGAACGCTGTGTGGGATTGCTATGTGGGAACGCCGTGCCGGAACGCCGCTCTCCCTCCGCAGATCCCGAATTCGTATCCGTGGACGAGTCTTCCCTACTCAGCGAAGCCAACCTCCCCGCCGGCGCCGAGGAAGAGGAGGAGGCCGAGGAAGACGCCGGGGGGGCCCCGGCGCTCCGGCAGCGCCACACGTGCTCCAGCTCCTGAGCACGGCTTCCCTTTGGGAATGCCAAATCCGGCCTTGCACTGCCGGGAAAAGGGATGGGATGGATGGACACGTGGATGTGCGTCCCCCCCGCTCCGCCGGCTCCATGTTTACATTCCCGCCCCCCCACCCCGGATCCGCTTGTTACAATTAAAAAAACACCCCGAGAAAACAGCCCCCGTGCTGATCCCGGGCCTGGCGCCGCATTCCCAAGGGTAAATTTTTCGGACAAATGGAGCGGATTGGGGGGGGCGGCACCGTGTGCGGCTCCGGAGGCGGCTCTTGGGCAGCAGCCGCCGGGAAGGGGGAACCGGAGCACGTGGCGCCGGCGGCCGCATCCCTCCCACGCCGGGAGCGGCCTCATGTTCCGGGAAAAGATTCCCGGCGTTCCCAGGGGGAGCCCTGTGCTCCAGGAGGCTGCTTTCCATGAGCGTTTCCATGAGTTTCCATGCGTATCCATGAGCGTTTCCATGCGCGTTTCCACAAGTACTTCCATGAGCGTTTCCATGTGCGTTTCCACAAGCATTTCCATGAGCGTTTCCACGAGTATCCATGAGTATCCATGCGCGTTTCCCTTCCGGACACGGGCCGGGAGCGGGGAGCTGCCCGTGGGCTCCGTGCCCCGTTCCGGCCGCGTCCGCTTGGAGCCGCTTCCCGGCGGGAAGGGGGAATTTGCCCTTATAAGGAGGGCGCCTTGATGGGAACCACCTGTGTGACGAGCTCAGCGCGGCRGCCGTGACACGGAGCGCCGGAAAACCGGAGCGCCGCCGGGCCCGGAGCCGCGTTCCCGATGGATCTCGGTGAGCCGGGATCCCTTGGGGGGGGGACACGGGGATATGGTGGCGAAAGCCGCCTCACGCCCCCCCTTTTTGGGGATGTTCTCCCCGTTTTCCCGCAGCTCCGGCCGTGCCGCCGCTCCCGGCCGCTCTGCTGCTGCTCCTGGGATTTGGGGGGGTCCCGGGGGGCGCCCGGGGGGGGTCCCCCCCCCTGTGTGACTACGAGCGGTGCCGGCACCTGCAGCCCCCCTGCAGCCGCCTGCGCCCCCCCGGCTGCCTCTGCCCGGGGCTCTCGGGGCCGGGGGTCCCCCCGGAGCCCCCCGAGCTGCTGGCGGTGACGGTGACGGCGACGGGCGCCAGCGTGCGCTGGTGCGCGCCCGCCTCGGTGGTGCGGGACTACCGGCTCACGGTGACGACGACAACCACAGGGACAACAACAAGCGGCGCGGCGGGAAGCGTGGCCACGTTCCCCGCGACGTTCCGCGCCGCCGCCGTGGGGGGGCTGCGCCCCGACACCCCCTACGTGCTCTGCGTGGTGGCCCGCAACGGCGCCGGGGACAGTCCCGCCGCGGGGGGCCCGGGGGGGCCCTGC